GGTGCATCCCCTAATAACTTTGTATTTTTCTTTTTTTTCTTTTAATATATATACATCTAGTCTTGCTTTCTGTGCCATTATATTTTTGCTTTTTATTTGTTCATATTAGCAGTATTATAAGCCAGGTAAATAATATTAAATATATAAAATAACGGGAGTAAGAAGAGTATTTAGTTGGCTTATATAATAATATAAATAATATACCCTGGAATTGTATAAGAATAGCCTACCTAGTTCATTTTTCGTATAATATAAAAACCTGCTTATCTTATATTTTTATGATATGTTTAAGACTTAACTCTAGTTAGATTAATATTAGTATTAGTGAAAGTGAAAACCTTATTATTCGTGACTATGGCCAGCTCGGATGAATTATTTTTTAATTATCTGCTGCCAGGGATTAAAATCTAGTATTTTTTATATTTTTAGGTAACTGTATTAAAAATCTTATTCTTTAAGTACTTTTTCCCAGTAATAATATCTAAAGAACACAATCCGCCGCTAGTATTGGCCTGCGGATAAATAATATTTTAGAGAGAACTAAAAAACCATATTTTTTTATTAATATTAGGGTTGGCTAATCCATGTCAAGCTTAGTTTAGATGCAGGCTATTCCGGGGTCAGTGGTATATGAGTATCTAATTATATAGAAGACTGTATTAATAGAAGCTGCCGTCTATATGATTTTTGCTCGCCTTATATTCTTATTTGCGGATGTGATTTATATTTTTATTAGTGATTTTTCTATTATTTAATTAGCCGCGTACTTTTTAGTAAAATGTGTAGTAGTTAGATTAATATTATTATTTTCTCTTATAATACAGCCGCAGGTTATAGTAGTCCTGGACAGCAGTCCGGATTGTGCTATCCAGCAGGCTGAAGAGGATTTTGACTGAATATTAGAGAGTGTAGGTTATAAGTTTTTAATTTAATCTTTTTCTGGAGTAAAATTAGTCTTTATTAATTGTTTTAGTGATATTAGTATCTGCTATTACCTCCGTGCGATGATCAATGGACAGCTTAAGGACGTGTGAAGGGCTTGGCGTGATTATAAAGTTTTTTTTAGTATTTTATATATTAAGGGGCTCTTTGATTTAGTAACTATATGCCTAGTGCTAGATAAGAATATTTTTTTTAATTTTATTAAAACAACACGTTAAAGGAACCCTATCTTAAAGAAACTGGGTAACTATGTTTTTTATTACCTGGATATAGGAAAACGAGCAGGATATAATTTAGATATTCTGGTCTTGTCTATTATTTCCGCGCTATTAATAAATTATTATCTGCCAGGTGTAATCTGTGAATTATAGATTTGACTGGAGTTTTATCTGGTAAAAATTTCTATTATAATAGGATTCTAATTATTGTCTAGTGCTAGAGCTATAAGCTGTTTTTTAAATTTTTTATTTTTCTTCTCTTATTTGTAGGATCTGAGATTATGATAATTAACAGAAGTCTAGTATAAAAGTTGGTAGTTTAACAGGTTAGATGAAGCTGGAGTTTATTAACTAGTTTTATTAAATAATTGCCCATGGATAGTAAATTATAGATTATCATTGAGACTATCTCTTAGTGATCAGTTATAAATTAGGACGGGTTTAATCAGATAAGATCTGCTTCTACTGCCTAGTCTATAGCGCCTAATACACCCAGGCCTGCTACTATATATTTTATGATATATGCGCGCAGTTGTTTGGTCGCCTGTCGGCTGATGCTAAATATTAATTTATAGTCTTGAACTGCTTTATCTGCCTTAGTAGTAGTACCCTAGTAATTAATATCCTGCCTCCCACAATAAACCTTATTATTCTAGCCATTGACGGCGGAGGGGTCCGAGGAAAAATTCTATTAAAATATCTCCTGTTAATCTAGGAATAACTTGGGCCCCAGTATAATATATAAGATTTTATAGATTTATTAGTGGGGTCTAGTTCCGGTAGGCTTATTCTATAATCTTCTGTTTTCAGATAAGATTAATCTTAGGTGCTAATAAATTGGTAGGTAGGTTGATAGTCCTGGGGCTGGCAGGTATAGGGTGGGATATATTAACTTGCTCTGAGGTATTTAATTATTTTATATAGTATATTTTCTGTGAATGCTGGCAGGAGATACTTTTAAAAATATTTTACCTGATTTTAGGCTAAGACTTATTATTAAAAGAGATTTTCTAGTGGGTATTATAGCTTTTTTATAACAGTTATTATAACTCGCGTGTTTTTAATGCCAGCCTCCAAAAGGTATTTGGAGAGGTATATTATATCTTTAATATAGTGGGTACTAGATCAGAGTTATATTTAAGGTTGAAATTCGGTGTTATAATAACTAGTATTACTAAGAAGACTAGATCCTTTGTTTTTAAGAATTTTAATACCGCTGACTGGTCTACTGGAGAATATAGTAAGTTAATTTATTTTTATATTTTATTTTTTTTTTTTAGTTACTACTAATACTTTTTTAATATTTGGCTGTTGTGGCAGAAGCTTTATTTATAAAAAAGAATAAGTTATTATTTTATACCCATGTCACTAACTCAGATAAGAGTAAAGCACAAGCTATTCCGTGCCAAAAATATCTATGGTGAGCCTTTGATATGTGATATGTAAATTAGTTGGCCTTTATTATTTTAGTAATTTGCTAACCCCGGCAAGAGGGAGGGCTATAGCTATAATACTATTATAAGTTTCCTCCAGAAGGGTCCATGTGGAATCTATGATCTTTTATTTTTAAGGCCCCTTTTAAATATAGAATATTTATTGCCTCTGCTTTAATTGCTTGGAGTAGGCTAGCGACTAAAGAATAGAGGCTGGGAGAGATATATTCCGGCTGTCGGGTTTTATATTATTTACTAATAGTTCTGAAAGTTATTTTTCTCCTGTGTATACCCGGGCAGGGTTATTCCAGGATAGGGGTTTAAAAGATAATTTCGCGGCTAATATTACTAGATAAGTTAGTTGTTGTATCTGGCCCTCTAGGGCTGGGGTTAGAAAGTTAATCTCTTTAGATACTAGAAAAACTGAAAGCCCTGGTCTCTGGTTATTATATTTCTATTATATATTCTGTGATAGTTTTCTCTGCTAGGGCTTTAATACCTTAATATCTAATTTTAATATTAAGCCAAAATAGCTGGAGCTCTAAAATAAACTTAAGGATAGTATAAAAAATAATTATCTATGGTTAAATATTAAGCTGTATAATATTCCATATATTATTGATGATATTAGTATAATAAATAACTACTAAAACCTGGTCACCAGCTAAGTTAGGGCTATCAGATAAGCCAAGGAGGCAGTAATAACCCTTCTAGTAGCCTGTTTTTATTTTAAGTTAAATAATGCCCTGACACAGCCTTAGTATTCTTTATAAGATTGGTATTATAATATAATCCGCTACAAAGGCCCAGTCCGGTATATTTTAGAAGCTCTCTATAGATTTTACCCTAGTAATATGGATTTTGTTACTAATACAGGCTTCTTAGGCCAGTTCGGTAGACCGGCAGGTATTTATATCTAATATAGATACTATATCTAATTAGTTTTGGTTTTCGCCTATCACCTAAAAAAGCCCCTGAATATTTATATTCGGACAGGCCGGCAGAAACGGTAGAAGATTAATGGGTTCCCTGCTAGTCTATAGTTATTTGTAGAGGTAAAGAACTTATATGTATTATTTAAGCAACTAAACTATAATCAGTCTATGGCAGCTCTATGCGCGGCCTGTAATAGTTAAGAGGGCTGCTTATAAAATAAAGCGCGGAAAAGCCTGTCTGTATTATCACTAGTAAAGCTTAGAATAAAATATTTTTATATTATAGAGGAAATCCGCGATTACTAAGACCGGCTAATCTGATAGCTCAACTTTAGTAATATTATACTAGTGTTATAAAATTCTTGCCTGTAATTTACCAGTCTATAATTATAATACAGGGAGGCCACACAAAAGTAGACTAGCTTGATCAACATTATTAGGTATACAGGCTGGCAGAGTTGTTATCGAATCTGTATTTAAACATTTTGTTATTCTAACATATATTATTAAACCAGTCCATCATCTTAAATCTTTATCGGCGACTTACCTAGCAGTACCTACTACTAGCATGCCTAAAACTTACAGTATATGCAGTTTTACGGAGGAAGTTAATAATATTATAGACTGTGTTTTAGAACTTAGCCTCTTTTATAATTATTAGGCTTACTTCTTTGTGGAAAATAGCAGTGGTATTATTATATTTAACTCTGAGGAAGATCTTTTATAATCACTGGATAACTAATCTCTAGTATATTATTCCCTCCTAGAAGGCTAGTTTAATAATTAAGTGTGTGGTATATCTAGGCCTTCTTTAATTAATTATTACAGAGGTTATATAGCTCTCAAGAGGTTTTAGCACGTGCTATGGAAGCAGAGCGGAAGGACTTTATCTAGATACTCCTTTATATCTCTGAGGTAGCTAATGGGCCCTTTGATTTGGAAGTTAATTAAATATAAGAAAAGTAAGTTCTTAACTTTGGTGGTTTTAAAGGCTCCGGAGCAGATAATTAAAATAATAATAGAAGTATATAGGAAGAGGAGTATATAAATAATAATAAGGAGGAAGAGGAGACTAGAGTAGTAGTATATAAGATAGACGGAGATTAGGAAAAAAAGGGCTATAAGGTCTATATATGAAGTGGAGATACTACTAATTAATATAATAATAAGTTTTAGGTGTATTAAACTATCAGGGATAGGTGCTTTATACTAGAAATTAAATATTACTATAATAGGCGTCTGCTTCCTGGTCAGGATATATAATAAGATATCTGAGCTTTCTATTATTTTTTTTTTGGTTATTCTATAGGATATTTATAGCTACTCTGCCAAACAAAATGCGTTTTGGCATTCTTCAGACTGAGATAGATTTAACAGAGCTTATATATTTTATTATTTTTATAAGTCTTATTATATTTCTAGTAATATTCTATCTGTATTAAGGACTATTTTTTTATTTATTTTGATAGTTCTCCCTGCTAGGATCTACTAGTATCTATTATATATATCTGCAGTACCTTGTTTACCTAAGATTTAATTCCTGTATTCTTAGCCTGGCAAAGCTTTCACTGCTCTGGACAGTTATTTTCCTTATATATATTATTAATATTATTATTACTAATATAACAGGGCTACAGAACTTACAGCAGTATATCACATGTGCTGTTTATCTATCTTTAATTAATTTATGCCTGCTATTTTTGTCCAGTGGCCGCGAGTTCGGCATATATTTACTAGGTATATCACAAGAGACCTATAGCATAGTTCACTGTATCACAGGATTTATAGCTGGCATCTAAGTTACTATATATGTTGCCCTTGCTTATTAAAAGACTTGGTTTATAATAACAGATAATATTTAATATTATAGATTTTTTATAAGTCACTCCAGCCACTGTTCAGCCGCTGTATTAGAATATTAGCTAATTTTTTCTATTATATCTAGGCTGGCTGCATATTAATCTTGCTCTTAATTCTGCTATTAGTAAAATATTAAGTGTATAAGTTTTTCCTAATAACCCATCTGGTATATGTTATTCTAGCGCTTTATCTGCTGTAGAAATATATCCAGCTGGCTGCGGAAACGGCGCGCAGATTTATTCTGGTATATTTTATTATATTTTCTGTGACTAAAATACTTTAGGCACTCTGTGTCTTTTTCTGAAATATGGTATTTAGGAGGCGCGCTTTGCGGGTAAGTATTACACCAGTTACTAAAAATATAATATATACAGAGCTATATCTCCCATGATTATGGGCAGTATATATAAGCAAGCGAGTTACCCTAGGTGTACCAGCTGTTGGTCTTTTCTATTTCTTCTAGGTGCACCTGTTTAGCATCATTTAATAAGAGAAAAACCAGGATAGTAAAGTAGACCGGGTGTTCTTACTCTTTTATGTTTGAACAGGGTTCACACGGAAAGCTCTTATATATTTAAAGCCCGACTGCGAGTACTGGGCGTGGATTAATAAGTTATTTAGTTTATCTACAGTCTACTGGTGCAGTGCTACTTAAGACCTAGATAATTACGGTTATATCTTTATAGTTATAACTGGGATCGGCATCGCCGCTCAGCTGCTATATATAAAGGAACTAGTGTAAAAACATTAATTAATAGGTATTTATATATAGAGGATCTGCTTTATCTGGTAACTTAATTGCACTGGAGATTACAAATGTGCTAGGGATTAGCTTTAATACTTGGTTAAGCTAAATAACAGATATATTAGTGACTAATTTGCTCAGCCCCTTTTCCCGTATATAATTCTGATATCTAATTTAATATTTACAGGATTATAGATACTAAAGGTTTTGGTATATAATCTACTAAATAAAGATTAGAAGGTCTAGAAATTTAGTTATTATAATTTAATTACTGTATATAGCAGTAAGCCAAACTAGGGAGAGATACTATCCGAAGAAAAGTAGGATCAAGTAGGGAAGATATTAATATCTAGTAATTTACTCCTTAATAATTAATTTAAATAACACACTAATAAAGCCAGGTTAAATCTCCGCCTAACAGAAGATCCGCGCAAAAATACAGCACTTAGTAAGAGAGAATATGAGGGATAATATAAAGCTTTTTAAGTTGGAATTTCAGCCTTGGTAGGAAAAAAGAGATTAGCTGTCCTTTATTATACTGTAAATTACCCCTATGGGTACAGTAATTAACACAGCCAGCTTATAAGAAGCTGGGTTCACTTAGATGTGCGGTAATATTTAAAGATATATAACAAGCTCTACTGGTATAAAAGTCAATACTTAATTTATAGGTTTAGAACTATTATATTATATTTGTCCTAGTCTATAATATACCCTGAGGCTTTGAATAAAGCAGTGCTCGGTATTTAAAAAAGAATTAATTTAAGAATTGCTTGCTGTACTCAGCTGGCTAAACATATTTATAAGATATCACAATAACAAAGGTTCACAGCAGAAACTAATATATCTCAGATAAAACTTTAGGGATTTATATTATGTTATCATAAGTTTGTCTAAGGCCTGAAAAAGATACAGAGTATACATAGTATATAAAAAATATATAAATCAAAAAGCTTTTTAAAAGATATTTAAATAGGCACTCTGTGAGTAGTCTCTCGATATTAATTAAAGAAGTAGGATGTTTATTCTGGGCTGTTTAAGCATCTGAAAGTATTTATTTCCTAGTCTAATCTATAAATTATAGTCTCTACCCAGCTACTAACACTGTGGTAGTGTTTAGTAGCTTAATCCTTGAAAGATTAATTGATTGCTCTATCCTCAGAGAATTTAGCTCTTGCCGAGGAATTAGAAAAGGCTAATAATAATTTAAAGAAATATTACCAGAAGAGGGAAAAGATAAAGACAGAGATTTCTAAGCTGGAAAAGAAACTAATAATAGCTAATACTAGTATTAAAATATAGCGGAAAAAAAACAAGAATTAAAGGGCAATAGCAGAATATTATTAAGGCCGGATATACTAATAATCTGACGGAGTTAACCAGATCAGCTGATTCTTATAAAGACTTAAAGCTGAAATACCAACAATGCCTATAGGCTATAATTAATAAGGGTTTCCTTGCTAGACGCCTTCTTGCCCTTACAAGGCCTACTTGAAACAGAAATTTTTATATATATATTATATATTTGGACCCGTGAATCACGGGTTAAATAATCACCTTATACAACTAAGTAATATTATATATATAAATATTACCTAGTAATCATCCAGCTTGGCTAAGTGACCCCGATTCTCTAGTTGAGAGATTTTTAGTAAAAAGGTCGGAATGTCAGAGACGGTGGATATTCTACTAAGTATAATATTGGTCCACGAAGAACCTGTTATATTATAGGTATTGTATATAATAGAAGTAATGTCCATCCCCTATATTCTATATCTAATTAAATATTAGTGGGTTTGAAATACTGGCAAAACCATAACTATAGTATATATAACAGCTGACATAGATACAGCTGAGTAAAGCTTGGCGCTATAAAAAAGATTAGTTAAAGTTAACTATTAAGTATTATAAATTATACCTAATACAACTAGTTTATTAACAAAATCACGGTCCTTACTAAAGTAATTATAACAATAAATTTCACTTTATTTAGGAAAGGCAAGAGTGTATTAAACATACTGTATATGCCTATACTTAGGACAATAATCAGATTTTATAGTTAAGTTCGGGCTTAAGATACTGAGCTATTCTACTAATACCTAGAATATATCACAGTATATATACAAAAATTAGACATAGTTATCTAATACTTGTAATAGTCAGATTGAATAAAATGTAATTTAACAGGCAGGTAATAATATAAAAAATAGCGGCTTTCTTATACTATAATTTCTTTAATTATACAATAATATATATCTGCACCCTTAGTAATAAAGATGTCTCTGGATTCTTAGTTCCTTGTCTAAAATAGGATAAATTACTATAGAAGTGGAATTCAGGGGTGTATCTTACCTAATATTACATAATATAATACAAACGGCAGTAAATTCAATACTTGCTTAGACAGAATAACCAATATATATTAGTATTACTTTTGGTGGCCTGTACCTTTCATTTAATATATCTTCTAATTTTAAGTCACAGGTGGATAATAGGGTAATTTTGATTATTTTAATTTTTATTTTATTTTATTTTATTTTTTGTTAGCAACAGAAAGGTTAAAATATTATAGTGTGTTTTAAAGCCGGGCTGCGGTGCTTTACTACTCTATATTAGACTTGTGGGGTATAAAAGATATTCTAGACTTAATAAACAGGGGCACATAATCTGTCCACTAAGGAGTTACTGTGTGCCGCTATAAAGTGACACGGCAATATTAATATTTATATAAGAACCAGAATCCATCTTATTAATCTAATATAAAATAACAAATAAAATTACAGCATTATCTGTTAATTATCAGAATAAGCTTAATATATAGTTAATTAAACATAAAGAGTCTTTTTATTAAGTAGTGGCTTAGATACAGCACTGCCTAGGCATGTTAATTTTTTTATTACTAGACTTATACTGTTCGAGATAGCGACAATTCTTGCTCATAAAGAATTTAAGCAAATAAACTACCCTTCCACACCTTAGAATATTTATTAGTTAATTATGGCGGAAGAATCGTCCTACTTCCACAGATACGCGAGAATTAAACTGAGGTGCCTTAAATTTGAGTATTCATATTTTAGAAAAAAGATATTAAATCTATTATATTTAAAAGTCTTGCAAGAAAAGTTTAAAACTAATAGTTATACTTATAAGGAGCCACAAAATTTTATTATAGCTATAGTAACTGATGACCTCCTGGAACGGATTATCGCCCAATCTGATTTAAGCTTAGATACTCTAAAAGATAACACTAATTTACTGTGGCTTACAGTCCCGAAAGATATTCAAATCCTGTATTTATACAGAAAGTATCAGGTGGAAACTACTAAATACTCTCTTCTGCCAGGTAATTATTAGTAGTCAGTTGCTCTATATTCTAAAAGTAAGTCTGTTATAATCACGATTAGGCTATATAAGCTGAGTTATACGAGACCTTCCGGACAGTCTCTGATATCAGATATATTTATATTAAGACCCAGAATTCGCCCTAGGGGATATCTTCCGCAATTAGAGATACTATGAATTAGCTAGTTATAATAATACCTCTTTCTAGCAATCTTTGATATCCACTTGCTCCTGAAAAGATATTAATAACTTAAAGTAATATTACAAGGGCATTATATAAAATATAAATCAACTTATCACTTTTCCAGGACTTTAGATAAACTTTTGTTTTATATTTATTTAACAGATTATACAGATTAATTATCCGAATATTAGTATAATACTCAGAAGTTATATATTCTCTTTTGCTTATACTAAGTCGCAGGAGATCATGCATTATTTAGATTATATATATAAGATATAGTCGAGTTCATATAGAAAATTTCCCGAGGCTGTTAATAACCGGTCAACAAAATTGGTAGAGAACCTGATACCGTGATAATCGAGTGTGGACCAGTTTTAAATAACTTAATTAATTAATAATAATACCCTTTTCCTATCACTGACCAGGATATCCGATCGCGAATCAGTTACAAAAACCCTGTCTAACACCCCAGGGAGGATCTTAACCCTGTATTTTATAATCTAGGATATATTACTCTAACATCTGTGTTTGATTACTCTGAAGAGACTAATACTAGATAAATATAAAGACTTACAATATATAATTATATCACAGTTTAACCCTAATAGGATAGATTAACCTGTTCAGGTTGCTGAGGGTGTTATTAAATCTATAAATTCCTAAGTATGCCATGAGTATAAATTATATTTACAAAGGCTGAATTCAGCATAGGTGTAACTCTGGTATTTTGTTATTTAATATATAGAAAATCTTATTAATACTAAACTTACCGGGCATAAATTACCTACAACCGAGGTTTAAGCCTTTAGACTAACCCAGCGGGAATCTAACTACCGGCTTGGTCTCCTGGCTAGGTGACTAGGGTTTAAATTAGTGCTAATTAATTCTTTTTATAATAACACATCCTTATAACCTAATATTAAAGCGTACTTGCTTGGTCAACATCCTGCGGAAATCTATAATTTTTCTACTTATTAGGAAAACAGTATATCCCGGAATATCATTCAACACCTAACCCGACCTCAGGAAAAGAGAAATTATATAATAAATATCCTATCCTTTACAAAGCAGACATCCAAAGCCTTAAAGTAATATAATCTGTTATTTATTAAATCCTACTAAAAAAACCACAAATCACTTTTCCTTCTGTGTATATATAGCTCTGATCAACTAATAAGAGAATTCCCTTCCTTTTTTATTATAAGGCGGGATATTATATTCAGCTTTCTAGATAAAGATATAATCCCAGTAAAGTGCTTTACATCATGGATGGCTTTATCACCTGTGAACTTTAACATCTACCCGCCAGGAACATCCTTAATTAAAAGCTGTTATAATCTGTCTTCGGAAGTGATCTCAGATCTCCGGTTACAGATAAATGCTTCCGTCGACCTCAAGAACATATCTAGTATACAACTCTAAAGAGGCCTCTATATAGATTATAAAATTATCATTTGCTCCCCGAAAGCAGCAGGCTTTAATAATAAGGCTCTTATTATACTATTAAATCAGCTAACTGATATATCATATAATTATAATATAAATAATATTCTAGAAGCTTAGTTTCGATCTAATAATATATTATTAGCTGTTTTCTACTTATTTAAGTCACAACAATATATCAAATTCGCATTTAATAACCCTAACCTCGACTCATAGCTTAAGGAGTTTATACTTAATATTATAAATAATTATTCTCTGGCGGATTTTCGAAAAGGATTGCTTAATTAGAAAAAAGTTATCGAAAATATTCATCAGATAAATATAATACTTGTCTATAAAGAGCTAGAGCATGAATAACTAATAAGTATAAACCTTCAGGAATATATCTGTTCATTTAACAACTATACAGGAAAGTTTCTTTATTAACAGCGAGCATATTAACAAAGAGTTTATTAAAAATAAATTAATCAGAAATATATCTGCTAGGAAAGGAACCTCAAAAATTAGGATAGTTTAACTAGAAGAAAAAGACACAGTAAAAGATCATCTTCTGAAAAGACAGAATATTAAATATAAATTTTCTAGATTAATTTCTCATAATAACTTACAATTAATATAAATAAAATACTAAAGGACTACAGTCATAAGAGAACTAAGGTCACTAGCAAACTACAGTTATTAATAGACTACAGTTATAAAAAGACTGCAGTCACTAGAGAACTGTGGTCACCAGAGAACTATGGTCATAAAAGGATTATAGTTACCAGAGGACTGTGGTTATGAGAGGATTACAGTCACCAGAGAACTACAGTCACCAGAGAACTACAGTCACCAAAGGACTGCAGTTATAAAAGGACTGTAGTTACCAGAGAACTGCAGTCACCAGAAAACTACAGTTATAAGAAAATTATGGTTACTAGAGGATTGCGGTCACCAGAGAACTGCGGTTATAAAAGGACTATGATTATAAGACGATTATAGTCACCAGAGAACTGTGGTCATTAAAAAATTATAATCACCAGAGGACTGCGGTTATAAAAAAACTATAGTTATAAGAGGATTACGGTTACTAGAGGACTGCAGTCACCAGAGGACTATAATTATTAAAGAACTACAGTTATCAGAGAACTGTGGTTACTAGAGAACTGCAGTTATAAGAGGACTACAGTTACTAAAGGACTGTAGTCACAGTAGAATCAGCTATTTATAATCTAAAGTTCTTAAAATATACTTAATCAACTGTTTAGAAGTCTGTCAAAGCCCTATAATACAGTAATTTATTCTAGTCTTGTATTCTTGACCCATATTCTATCGCCCGACAAGCAAAAATCTAGAGGCGCCTAATATTAGATGATTTAAGAAAGAAGTTGTCTTGTAATTATCAGCTTAAATTTTCTAAAAAAAAAAAAGATATATTATCTTAAGCAGTTATTAAATTAATATTCTGTCTGTTATCTTTATGAAATTACAGCAGAGCTTGCTAATATTATAGTATTAGAGCTATAAACCATCTAGATCCCGCGCATAAGTGGCCGGCTCTTTAATATTTATTAGTAATATACCAACCGCCCGAACATCATCAGCAAACCCTGTAGCTCTAGATCTAAGCACTAACTCTGCTATATTAGCTAAGAGATTTTAGTCCTTGTCTTTCTTAGATCTAATATTAATTATACCTAGTTTCAAGTTATAGATAAATAATAAAAGAAGAATATTTTTAATATTCAGCTGTTTATAGGTTATTCCCAGCCTATTATAGATGTATTAGAGACCTTATAAAACCTGAGAGTAAAGATTAGTATATTTATATACTTAGCTTAAAAGAATATTAGTTATTTTTTTACTAATAATTACAAGATCTATCTTAGTGATCACTTGTCAGCTGATTACTTATATCTGGTATAATAAGACCTCAAGTAATTTATAGACTGGATATACTATTTCCGGTCTTAGAAATACATTAATAAAGCAAATAATATTAACAGGATTATCCTATAGAGCCTGTGTAAGCTGATAATGCTGTGTAGAGCTTACTTAAGTATTATACTCTTTAATTATAACAAGCCTATAGTTAACAGTATTATTATAGGCGAAAATCCTGGGACCTGCTTAGTCTAATATAAAAAGTTAATAGTATTTCTACCATAATTCCTCTAATGGTGAGGTTAATTCTTTGTAATACAGAATAATAGGAAACCAAGTATTTTTTATAACTGTTTTATTACCCGTCCGAGACAAGACCTTATTTATTTTCGGTAGCTTCTAAGAGATATATCCTTTTTTATTTTTATGATCTAGTGGCATTAAAGTCTCTAATTTCTCTAATATATCAGGTCTGTTTCTATCAGGCTTGGCCAGGGATAAAGATAATACAGTCTAGTGCTTAATGGTATTCTTCAAAAAATTAAACACATTTATAAGCAAATATCTTTAACAAAGTAATCTAGATCAGGACTAAGAGGGAAATAAATTAAAGAGAAACAAATAGCTAACTCAAAGGACCTTCTTATTAATATAGTATGGTTAGATCTGGGCCAGAATATTTATTATACCTTTAATATTTTAATATATGGTCTGTAATATTCTTTGGGCCTAGGAAAAAATTATAATATATTATTTACTATAACTTCTGACGTCCTGAGCATGCAGCAACACCTTATACTAAGATATTTGTATAGTTTGCACTGTTTAATCCATTTCTCCCACATAGTAGGTTTATTTACTACTTTATACAATAAATCGCTGTTCTTTTCTTTCCTCAACCTAGTGTTTTATAACTAGCTTATAATAAAAAGTATTTTTTCATTCTTGAGCTTATCACATAATTAATAGTATATTATATTATTATTCTCTTCCTTATAAAGTTGAGAAAAGATCTGCAAGGCTATATCTATAATAACTAGAAGAACAAGAAGATATTAAACTAAACAAATCTATTAATACAACTAGCACCCAGAGTCAGTTGAAAATTTAAGAAATAATAAGTAAAGTGAATACATATAATATATTTAGTCCACCTCTTAAAAATACACCCTACTTATTTCGAGTTTTTGATATAATTTATCCTATTAGTGTTAACTTTAGCTAAGTTGTTTTTCATAACATAAGGCTAGGAGTTTTAGTCATTGGTTTAACTAAGGAAAATCTGCCTATTTAATCCCCACCTATTAAAAACAGGAATTGTTGATCAACAGTTTCAGGGGGGGATTTTATAATATTACCTAAAATATACTTCCTATTGTTACAGTAGACATTATAAATCTCTAATTATTACATATCTAGTGGGTCCCTAGCTCTTTCCTAATAGCATTAGCTGTATGTGTATAATTTTACTTTTTGACTTGGCTACCAAATCTACTGTATTAGTATTATCATACATGTTAGT